GCTATCAGATCAAAGGTTCAACTTTTCTTCATATGTTCTGGAAGACTTCACATTACGTACTACTTCTATAGTTAGTAAAGGACTTGCTAAGAGACAGCACCCCACTTAGCAGCTTGTGGTGCTCTTGGCAAAGGTTTTCTTTTTAAGAGATTTTGTTAGAATGAGAGAGATAAATAAATGAATTTTTACAACATTCAATGAAATAGAGCTTTGTAATTTGAATACAGGATACAGCAATATGAGTAGATTTACAATAGGAATGCTTTACCATTCTCATTGGTGCTTCTACAGGGCCTTCCATTGTTTTTACCAAGGCAGTACTCTAAAACTTCAATCCGTTATTTTGTTCAGCTTGGAATACGTTGTGGCTAAGTAAAACAGTCAACATGCAGAACAACTTTACATCTTAAGAAATAAGTTGTTTTAACTTTGAAAAATTATATCTATGTGCTATGCTGCATAACAGCAGCATGGCAATGTTACAAAGCTTCATTAAATCAAGAGAACACAGTATACCAAGCTTATTATTGGTTGTTGCTTGATTTAAATAAACATGTTTGACACCCAATTACATACCCATTAGCTATATGTGTGGGGAAAAAAAAGGCAGAAAATGACTTGATTTTAAGATAAATAGGGAGTTAACGAAGTGTTTTAACAGCCTATTCTTTAAATTGATGTTACAAAACCTGTTGTACATCTACTATGCTGAGGTTACAAGATAACTTTGTTGCTGTAAATCAGCCCAATTTTATCAACAGTTTGCTTACATTGTCTTTGCACAGCAAACCCCTTCCTAAAAACACAAGTCTAACAAATTTAATGGCATTACAGCATCTTGTACAGTGGTTTACCTGTAGCAGTAGTGTCCCTCTTAAATATGTAAAAAAATGGTCCATTGAAGGAAAGAAATTTCTTCACAGAGACCCTCTCGTTCCGCATTGTTAAAGCCCCCTACAGTCCCCTCCCCTCCTCTTAAACCAACCAGCTATTTACAGAAGATTCTGCAAGCACATAGCCCATCTCATTCAGTAAAGCAAGGTGCATTACAAGGAAAGACAAGGCCCAAAATGAAGTAAATGTACACCAAATTGACTGTGAGGCAAGCATAAGCACAGGTTGATTGCACAAAACAACTAGTGTAAATTGTTCCTTCTGAATAAGTTGGCATGCAGTACCAGGAGTAGGAAGCTACACAGACACACAGCCCTTCAGCTGTCTACTAAACACAGCTGTCCTGCTATCTATAGTCCTATCCTGCCTCCTGAATGTGCACCCAGTATGCATCTATATGATCTCACTACAGGGGTCAGTCCTAAAGTCCAAACTGCTTACAACGGACTCCTTCTACTAGCCCACATTCCTTGCTATAACACAGTTCAGCCAGTTTAGCAGCTTTCATTCCATAATTTTAATTTTAAGATTATTCTTCCCATTCTTTGCATTATATTACTACTTGAGAGTATATCAGCAGGGCTCTTGAATATCTCTCTCCTGCAGCACAAATCATATACCTAGAAGTAACATTTCTATAAGAGCTACAAGAGGAGTTCATAAAGCTAACTACTCCTGACATTCAATTCATATTATACTTTCCCTATTTATATTAGAGGTAATAACATAGCAATAGTCAAATAAAAAATGCCAAATGGAAATAAGGCATATTATTTGCATCTATTTATCATGAAAACAACAAAAATGCCTACAGGAAAGGGAAGCAAAGCCTGTTAGGAGGGCTTAAGGGAAGACTCGGAACAACTACAAGGGCAATTATAAATTACAAGACTAAGTTTATTAGTTCAGCTCTGCAAAATATTAGAAATTAGTTAACGGCACTTTTGAGATATGGAAATGGTCTTTTATTTACAGTTTATTTATTCATAAGTAAGTGTTAATTAACCTAAAAGAATTAGTGCTTTCATGTTCTTAGAATTCTGGGGTGGGGTTTTTTCCTTCCTTTCCTAGTTCATGTTCTCAGACTGTGCCTTAATACCTGTTAAATCAAGTGTATGTAAACATCTGCAAGTGTATGTAAACATCTACTGGATAAAACTGTCCAGAGAAACTTTGAGAATGCTTCTATCATTATATATTTATGTAATATTTATGTGTGGATTCAAATCCCAATTACTGTCTATACCTGGTATACTTTTTTGTTCAGTGTATAATTTCATGGGGTTGATGAAATCTACCTATTTCCACGCCCTCATAAGATCCAACCTGTGGAGCAAACCCAACTCCAAAATCTGTTAGTGGACTTCAATGACTAAAATAATCTTCACTTCCAAATCTATATGCCTAATTCATCTTTTTGAGACTTTTCTTGTAAAAGAACACACTCTTTCAGAACCTTTTGTTTTCATAGAAGACTAACAATGCATTTTATGCTGTCTTTACAGGGTAATGATTATTCAAGTGTGACTGAAAGGATTTCAAGGTCATTTTATTATTTTGTTCTTAGTCCATGTTGATTTCTCATGTTATGATAACAGAAAAACCCGAGGTGAAAATGTGCATGACACTGTTTCAGTTCCACAGATTAACTTAAAATGCTTTGAAAGGATGCATAAAAAGGACTAGTTGCACAATCTCTTTCAATAATACGCAAAATTATGCCAAGAAAAGTCAATAGAAGTACTTCTCCTTCTACTACTTTCAAGCAAAACCAATGCTACTACATGCAGAAATGAAAAGAAATACTTGCTAAAGTATCTCCAAGACAACTACTTACTAATTCAATTCATCACGAGAAACAAAACCCAACTATCTGTGGATCTAACACAAAACAAAGACTCACACATACCACATCACACACACACACACACACACACAGAGAATGAACCAGCTGCAAAGCTGCAGCAGAACAGCTACCTGTCCCTTCATTATTCACTACAAATCTTAGCTTTGAGCCTGTTATCTAGTTCTACCTTTAGTCCACCCTCAGTATAACTATGAAGGGACAAAACCAAACAAACAAAACAAAAACAAACAAAAAAAGAACAAAACCAAAAACAAACCAACACACAAAGGAAGAAAAAAACATAAACCAAACTGAAACAAACCAGCGCACAGCACACAACAGTTTCTCACACTAGTACTGTCATTGTACATGAAGAATCCTTTCTAAACTTAGTCTTCATTGTAACACAGAAAACTAAACCAAACGTCTCTCAAAAATGCATACACACATGCACACACCAGATTCTGATGAATCGCACATATGGTCACATCCATATACATGTTTGCACGTATACATATGCATACACACACTTTCCCTAATAGGTCCATATAATGTAGTCCAAGAACTACCACCACATATGACCTACTATTACGAACTTCATGATCATCAAGAGTTCACTTGTCATCAATAACGAGTTCATCCCTTCCTATAAGAAAGGTCCTGCAGTATTTGCAGACAAATTAGGGAATGCTATTAGATATAACCCAGATACAAAGGTCAAGATATTTATATCAAAAAATAAAAACTGGGCTTAAAATTCTTATTCACACAGATTCAAATTCTGTACTCATTACAGACTGCACAGCAAGAGGAAAAAAAAAAAACAAGCTTCCTGTAAACTAAGATAGAAAAGGCATTACTTAGTAATATATAATATATATTAATACAGAAAGAATATTGAAAGCTTATGAGCAACATCCTCAAATTTTGTATTCCTATGCACATTTCCATTTGAAATTTACAAAGTTCAATACAGAAAAAAACAAACATATTTTGTTTAAATAACATTGCCTAAACTCTCACCACAATCACCGCACTCATAATAAAATGGAAATTTTCTTGCATTCCCTTCAAAATGTTTTACTTCAACTGTTAAATTTGATTTACGGAGAAAATATTCACATTGAATAGGACAGCAAAAGCAAAATGGATAGGTTTAAAATCAAACTTTGGCTTCCTTCTGACTTTCTAACCTTATGTAACAAAGATTTTAGTTATTACGACATTCTGAAAAGTTATGAGTTTTTATGTCAGTCACAACCACATAGCTCATAACATCTGTTAGATCAAAGGGGAAAAAGCAACACTTTAATATCATTTTGAACCTTATATAAAATGTTTTTATATAAAAGAAATTACACACGTAATTTATTCTAAAACCTCAGAATTTGTTCACAGCAGCAATTTATAAGAATGTCCAACTCACTGAAGTGATATGTCTCATCTAGTTAGTATTGTTTCCACAGTTCTACTTTGCTAGCATCAATCTCACAATAAGACACAGCACACGGTGGGGGCATGGAAAGCAAGCCACAACTTGGACTATGTTATACTGAAGACTCAGATTGATTGTCTCATGACCAGTACTGGACAGGAAACCTTCGATTCAAGAACAGCAAACATGCAGTTTCTACTTCCTTCCTTAAGAGTGTGGGAGACAAAGCCATGTGATTCTGTGATATTCTCTCAGCACTTGTATTTACTATTCAGCAGTGAAAATCGAGTGCACAAAGGGAACAGTCAAGTTATCTGACAAAACATTTGCTTTCACATTAACATGTTGTCAGAATTCACAGATGAGACACAGAACTACTGCTGTATCAGTCTGTGAACATGAAGAATGCTGAGTAGACAAGCAATAATACTTCCACGCCTCATCATTTTTCACATCCATATTTCTAAGTGTGAGGATCATTTCTGTACTACATGCTGTTCCATTAACAGGTATTAACACTAAACACAGCTAATTATGATTTGGTTTTCCTCCAGAGGTTAGCCCAGTAGGAAAAAATAATGTAAGAAAGAAAAGAACAAAAAGGCAACTAACACCTTACATATTAGTAGGATGTACACAAATTGAGTATTACAAGCCTGAATACAAGAAGCATTCAATTTTATTCTGCCTTTTGCAAGATCAATTCTAAATGCTGAAAGGATTAGATACTCAACAAACCATCACGCAGAACAGTACATGAAACAAAAAAAATATAGTTAAATAATAATTTACACATAATTCATAGCTCCTATGAGAAATACTCACCAAGATCTGTATTGGGGCCAGCAAGTAGCAGCTTAAATTTGTCTAATCGGGATGCTTCTCTTTCAGTTAATGCAGGAGTAACTGAGGTATTACAGTCTGCCATACCACTCACCAAGGGAGGCGTGGAAGTTTGTGGAAGGGACTGTGATCTCTGCATGGAAGTATTTTCACTTGCATTATCTGAAGGGAAAAAGATGCATAACAGTTAGCCTCAGCTACTGAGAAGGCTATTCATAACTTGAATTTAATTTGTAAATTTAAAATAGAATTAGGTTTTGGAGAAATGTAAACTCTAGTATAGCACAAGTTTGGACTTCAAATTATTTGGATTTAGCAGGACAAGCATTCCTCTTCCAAGCAGTATTCCACAATTAAACCACACCAATTAGAGAGCAGACAAACAGCAAGGCTAATTGATTTCTAAAATCTTACTTTAAAGTTTATACATAAACCACAGAACAGATCACGTAAGGATGAACTTCCCAATCCACATGCATGTTTTTTTCCAATTTTTGAACATACTTTATACAGTAGTATTTTAATAAGAAAATTTTTACAGTGGTAGGAATACTATTAACTGCACACAACTTGGGGCAGTTAAACATTAAAATGCATTCAGTAGTGCAGCTTCCTTCCAAAACTGAGGATGTAATAACGCTGAAAACACAAAAGTTTAATTATTCTTCCCTCACCCCTGTACTTCTCACACACATACTTTAAAGTTCAGTAAGGCATACAGTGCCTCCTTCAAATCAATATTGATTACTACTATTTTCCCGTGGTATTATGAAAAGGTTGGGAAGGGGTTAATGTCTTAAAGGGCAAATATTAGTCCCCTCATTTGATTTTCAACATCTTTTTCATTTTTTAAACATACCTGATGAGCTTGATGTATGACCTTCACTGATTGATTTAACAAGCCTATTATCACCACATGCAATCGAAGCCAGTTCTGCAGATTCTACTTGTTTTTCTTCCTGTAGATGTTCTTCCTGAAATTTATGCTGCTCTTGTAGCTTGCTATGATTCTCGATTACTTTGTGAGCCGTTTCCATGACCACTTCTGTATTTAAGTTTTCAGCAGCTATTGCTAAGAGTTCATCATCATCATCCCCAGGATCCCAAGCATCACTCGTGTTACTTTCAAATTCTTGGAAGGTGCTGACTTTCTTTAGTTTCACTGGAGTTGTAGGTGGCTTTGAACCTGGTTTTACCAAGCTGCTCAAAAACAAGTAAACAATATTTCAAGAACTAGTAATGGAGTATGAAAAACACCATGGAGAAAGCCAAAAGAAACAAAGCCCATGCCTGACATTATATAGGTAGCAAAATTTAATCTTCCTCCAGTCGTTACTGTTCAAAAAACCCACCAAAATCCACACCAAACAACAAGAAAAAAATAGAGCAACCTGAAAGACAAATAAACAGAATACTACTGCAATAGTTTAAAAGATAGGACATATTGCACTTCTCCTGCTCCATGAATTTCTGTAGACTGTAATTGCTGCATAATAACACAGCAGCAGTAATCAAGTCATCAGGTCTACTCACGTCATCAATCATGTAATGCCATAAACAAATCAAGTCTCACCTTAGAACTCATTACATCTATCATTCCTCACTATACAGGCAATCCAGCTCAATTTGCCTCAGAACTTTGCTCTACTTATAGGCAGGATATTTCCTCTAGTTGCTAGTATAGAGTATACCCTGATCAGCTCCTAACCTTTCATCCCTCAGTCAACACACGGCATAACAGATAAGAATTAAGCATTCCTCCCCAGCTTGGCACTTGCTCTCACTTACAATACCAAGCAATCACATATCTCTTCAGATTTCAACTAGACAAGGCATAAAGTTGAGAGAGCATCCCAGTCTGCTCTCAAAAAAAGTTAACACCATTAACTCCATGCTTTTCCTGCCCATTCCTGTCTTTCCACCTGTGTTCATTTACTTCTTTTTTTTTTTCTGTAAAGACAAGGCAGCCAGAATTAGAAATCAGAAAAAGTTCTTACACAGTCCTCATACAATATCAGTAATATTTCTGTTATGTATTGCAAGGAATATCTTTCCTAACAGGTGTTACAAAACTAACACTTTCACGCAGCTTATCATTATCTAAAATAGCAAGGTCTTTCTCCTGTCATCATTTCAAGCAGTAAGCTTCTAGTTTTTGTTACTGGATCTCTCCACATTTAACTCCCATTAAGTGGAAGTGTGTTAAAGTTCTTTAATATACTTAATAACTCCACATTTTGAACCAATTCATCCCTTTCCTTTTTCTTCAGTCCTCGGGGTTACACATTTCAACTGCCTTCAATTCTGTATCATCTGAAAATGAACCAGCATGTGTTTATCTCTTGTGCCATTTCAAACCAGCCCTTGGAAAAAAAATAAAAATAAAATCACCTCCTTCCATTATGTTTTGTCCTTGCCACTTTGGGCAGTTCATTTCATTGGTCATACACTTTACCCAAAATTCTCACACACACCAACATTTCAACAGCAATGCTGGTTTCCAAGGAGCTGACGACTCTACCAACAAACCAGAAACAATTCTGTCCTTGACAAAACTTAAACTGTCTTTCAAAAGACAAACAAACAAAATACAATAAAGCAAAATGTAAGACACAGAGAAGTAGGAGCTGTCAGAAAGCAGCATTTTTCTGTAGCCCTCAGCCAAAAGGAGAGGAAAATCATTTTAGCTTATCAGAATGAAATTTATTTGGTTACTAATAACGTTTAGCATAATGTTACCATTTTCATGTACATTGTGTTGTCATATCAAATAGTCATGATCTATGGCAATCAACTTTTAAAGCACTAAAATCTATTCTACCTACTGACTCCTTACAAGCAAAATGCCCACCTTTGCCTCAAAATGATCTACATCACAACCTGACTCTTTTCTCTTACAAGCAAAGAAACCCAGTCCATCCGGATAAAGATGCATGCAGGAAAGCTGCTTACACCCAAATATTTACCCTACGATTTTCAATGTGTAAGACACTGTAAACAGATAATAAATGCTGGTAATCTAGGCTACTTAAGAACCGAACAGCTGTTTGTTGCTCCCAATATGATAAGCACCGGGAAGTCGTAAGACAAGACAGAACAGAGAAGTCAAGATGATGACAAAAACTGAAAAAGGAAGACTAACAAAAAACTTAATAGCCAACAGGGAAGAAAAAGGGGAGAGATGGCAGAGGAGATATAAGCTACCTGGAATATTTAAATATTATGTTGACTTACGTTCCATGCAGCAATGGATCAAAAGGCGGATGCTGAGCACCATACACATGTTGAATACTAAAGGAAAAGAAAGAGTTATCACAAAAATAGTAAAACATTTGGGTTTTTTCTGTGTATCAAATGAACCGTCTATAATAAGCTGAATTGAAATATTCAAAGTTTTCTGTTTCAAAAAGTCCCTTATGACATTAAAAATAATGAAGCTGAAATTAAAGCATATACTAAAAAGTACCTTACAGAAGAATCATAGATTTGCCTAATAGGAGGACTTAACTGTTACTAAAGTACAAGACTGATATATTTAAATAAAAATGCAAAAGATGTCATGTTAGAGAATAAAAGCCGTGAGTATTAAAACACGTTTTGAAGAGTAGCTGCCTAAGACAGACTTATTTACAATTATCTTTAACATCGCAAAACAGCACGTTACTTCATGAACAATAAAACTCTCTATAAACTAAAAGTTCATTTGCCTAGTTTTCAGCTATAAAACTATTTTATACATAGAAAAACTCCACAGAAGACACATCAAGATTCACATCTGGTTTCATAACAGAAATTACTACTACAAAACTCTCTGATTGTCAGAAAAGCAAATCATATACAACATTAACATCTACCTAAACCTGCACTAAAAGCCACATAAAAGAAAACAAACATGCCCTCCTGACAAATCAAAATCAGTCTCCAGATCATAAGCATAAATAAGTCTGACCTTAGTAAACCTGAGCTAGAACCAAGCCAGGAAGATGGCAGTCACAAATTTTGACAGACCTAAATTTATACTAAACAAGCAGTATTAATAGTAGTGACATTAGCCCTAGAGATGACTGACTGGTGGTTTATAAAGGCTATCAATTTTCACGATTCCATGCAAATGAAACAAGCCAGTCCACCACCAGCCTTCCTACATGACTGTATGCATACCCCACACATCAAGCCTCTGCACTCTTCTCCTCTTAGCTTACATGAGAGCCAAGTGTCCCCTCCCATTTTGGCATACACACAAAATCTGCCTTTTCCTTCAGACACTATGAATGACCACGATAGGAATCCACCCAAATATAAAGCAAAATCAACCTTCTCTGCACCATTAAAGAAAAAAAAAAAAAAAAGAAAAAAAAAACCCAACTCAAAAGCAGAATCCTTGTTTTTCCATATGCCTGCAGTTGCCTTCAAGTTAATTAAATGCATCTATTCATAGACCCCACCCAATCGAGGAGGGTCAGATGTATTTTACTCCTAAAGGACTCAGCAAAGTTACAAAATAACAAGTTCACCACAAGAACAGTCTTAGTTTGTAACTAGAAAAACAAAACTACTACAAGTTATTGCTAATGGGTAACTAAGAAAGGAAGGAGCTAAAAGGATGAGCAGGTTTTGTTGAATTCAAGCAAACGGTACAGAGTTCTCCGAGAACCAAGAGCACGCATCCCTCTTACAAAAAGAATATAGGAAACGGAATTACTCTGCTTACAAAAGTAGCTCAGGGATGGGAGCGGAATTACTGTTAAATAATCACCTGAACATGCGGTCCCAGCATGACATAATGGTCAAAAGAGTTCATGTGACTTTGGGGATGTATTCCCAGAAAAATGTGAATAGCAGAATGTGTTTGTAGCTCTTTGCAATGATACCACAACTGGGTCTGCTGTCTACGCTTCAGGAACAGAATTGTGAAATCGATGCTATTTTGAAATATTAAGCAGGAACTAAAATACAGCTCTATGCCTCTAAAGTGCAGTTTCCTGCATATCATTTCAAAATACCATAACTTGCATCAAGTCACAAACATCGTAACATGTATCATTACTGAGACCACCAGTGGTCCTCGTTCAGGCAACTGCAACGCTCCGGACACTGAGCTAACAGAAGAGAAGAACCAAGGCAGGGAGGAGAGGCCCCGCACCACCCCCGCCCCCACCCCCTTTCCCCCCCCCCAGCCACAAACAGCGACCGGCCGGCCACAGAGAGCACAGATCTACGAGCATCCGGTGAAGTCAGCGGCCGAGGCGGCTCCCAGGAGCCCGGCGTTGGAGAAACCACGAAGTGGAGCTAGGCAGACCTGCGGCCCGGCTCGCCCCACCACCGTGTACTCCAGCTGACGGCGGGACGAGCCGCGCCAAGCCTCCGCCAGCCGGCCGCTCCCGACCTTCCCGCCGCCCCCTCACCTGCCCGGCACCTTCGCGCCGCTTCGCTTCCAGAACTGCTTCTTGCCGCCGTCACTCGCCATGACGGCCGTCACCTCATCCCCCTCCCTGCGGCGCTGCTTGGCGCGGCTTGGCGCGGCTCGGCTCGGCTCTGCTCGGGGTCCCGACCCGCTCCCTCAGGCTTCAATCCCTCCCATCCCTTTCCACACAAACGGGACAGAGCGCAGCCATTTTGGGACCAGGAAACAACCCCGCTTTTCATTCGCCTCACAACGCGGCCCGGAGGTTTTATCCAACCAAAAGTGAGAGTGCTGCCGTGTGGGTCAGGTTGAGCCAATCGCAGCGAGGGCGTGTGGTGGGCGGAGAAGAGTCTGGGGGTGGGGTTCGCTGTGGTGGCGGTGGCGGTGGCGGTGGCGGTGGCGGTGGCTGAGTCGGGTTGGGACCTCCCTCCCCTCCCACCCCGCGGTGGAGGTGGTGCAGGTGGTGCTGCAGCGGTGCGCCCGTCCCCGCCGGCTTGGGGAGGTTGGCGCGGCGCGGGCAAAGAGGCGCCGGGGCTGCAGCGGGGTCCGGTGAGCTGGGTCCAGGAGCCTCGTCCGAGACCGGTCTCTTTGTATGAGCCCGGGCTGAGGCCGCCGGCGCCGGGGCGGCTGTTTCTTGGTCTTGTGGTGGTGTGGGAGATACCAGCCTGAAATGATACAGAGCCTCAGACTTAGTTCCTCTCTGTGATTAGCAAAAGAGCTCCTTTAAAGTCAGATTGTACTTTATGTTACTCAAGAGTATGATGTTCTCAGGTTTTAATCCTTTTTGATGTAACCACAAAGAAATTCAGAGTACTCGTTAGGAAGAAATGCAAAACTTGCTATGTCAATGGAAAGAGACAGCAATTGGAGAGGACAGATTTCAATCAGGTTAGATCTAACCCCATTTTATAACAAAATGCATCAGATTTTTGTTACTTTGTGCCAGTTGTTTGCAGTACTTTACCCACTTGTTTGGGGGGGGGGGGAGGGGGGGTAGAATGGCTTTAATAATAGAATGGTTTAGGTTGGAAAGGACCTTACGATCATCTAGTTCTAGCTGTCTCACCATGGGCAGGGACACCTCACTCTAGACCATGTTGCCCAAGGCTCTGTCCAGCCTGGCCATGAACACTGCATTTGCCACTTCCTTGGGCAACCTGTTCCAGTGTCTCACCATCCAGCCGGAAAAGAACTTCTTCCTTCTGTCAAACCTGAACTTCCCCTATTTAAGTTTAAACCTATTTGTTTTTACTGTATTTTACTGTATTTAAATCTTTGTTCTGTTGCTACAGTCCCTGGTGAAGAGTCCATCTCCGGCATCCTTGTAGGTCCCCTGCAGATATTGGAAGGCTGCTATAAGGTCTCCATGCAGCCTTCTCTTCTCCAGGCTGAACAGCCCCAACTTTCTCAGCCTGTCTTCATATGGGAGGTGCTCCAGTCCCCTGATCATCCTCGTGGGCTACTCTGGACTTGTTCCAACAGCTCCATCTTTCTATACTTTAAAGTTTTCCTGAAGATTGGGCTCACCCAATCATTGTATCCACTTATTTGCTTAGAAATGATACAAGATTGAGGGTCTTTATATGTATCTATAGAGTTCTCAGCACTCTGATCCAAGGTTATATCACTTCTGCAAACTAAATAAGTATGATTTTACATTATTCTTTAGAGTATGGCTCCTGAGAAAATAATGCTGACTTACAGAGGTTTTATGCTGCATCCTAATGCAAGGCTAATTTAATGTATCAAAGATTGTTGAGGGAACATTCCACCATAATTAACTTAAAAACCACCATGTAGTATAAGACCTGACCTGCAGCGTGACATTTATCCTTTGGTATGAATTTCACATGTAAGTTATTATTAAGAATAAAAAGTAATGAGTTTTTCTGCCTGCTTTGGGATTTGCTTTAGCAGATCTTCCTAGATCACTATGCATGAGTGAAAGCTGCATGTCCTAATAATTTCAAAGCTACTTAAAGACAAATATGATAAGGGTAGCATCATATTCCCTACTTGTGTCCTTTAAATAGGATCCCTCTCACAGATTCTGGACCTGTAAGCTTTTTGTAATGCATTATGACCTTGACTATCAGCAACTTTAATAGAATATACAAGAAACATAATGTAACATGAACTACATCTGTTAACTAAAGTGAAAATAAAACCTGTAAGGTCATGAGTGAAACTTTGCATGGTCTTAGCTAGATAAATTTAAATCAGACTTGTTCCTGTTACAGTACAAAAATTAGGTACTTTTGGTTTTGACAGTCAAAAAAGTGATAAATCCATAAAAGATACATTCTATCATTAGCTTTAGTATGGATGTTGAAACTCTATTTGTATTCTTTTCATTTATTCATTGTTGATATTTGTGCAAAGGAAATTTAGTTAGATTCAGCCTAGATAGCCTAAGTTGTCTGCCATCCTTGACCTGAATGTTGATGAAACACCGTTCAACTTTTTTGTCAGTCTGGGGCAGCCATGTGGTTAGTTTTAGAAGTGGAAGTTTTATTGCATTACATACTAAAGTAATTACAAAGTTAACTGCATTATTTAGTTTTCATTGTATTCAGTATATGTTGTGTGGTGCTTAAAGTTTTTTGTGTGGTGCAGAATTTGATACTGGAAGCAAATAACAGATGCATTGATTTGTTCATGTGAATGGGTCTGACCTGCAAATGGGGCTACATCTGTATTAAGTACAACCACAAAATCTCTGTCTGAAACTGTGTGCAGCTGCTGCCAGTTTAGTCCCTTAGGCTGAAATCATCCAGAGTTGGACAGACCCTCTCTTGTTGACTTTCAAGAAGGCAGGGACACTATTTTAATTCTTTCCATTCACTGTTACATTTTTTCCTTGTTCTGTATTTTATCCCTCACACAAACCTGTGTTGCCAGGGTTCTGAAGGTGCAAGGGATTTGGAAGGAGGAACCTTTCAAGGCCCCATCAGGTAATTTAGGTGCAATTCCTTATGCCCATCACTTAAGGTAATACAACCACAAAGTGTATGTCCTTGAAAAAGACTTAACAAAACAGTATTAATCCAGTATCATAAGGAGATAAGTTCATAGCTATATAGTACTTGGAAGGAGATGGTGGTCTAAGCATGTATTTTAGCAGTGTTCATGCTTAGCGTTTTTGGTTATAGAAATGTAATATGGGCAGCTGAAGGTGTACAGAGTTTTCAATGACAACCTCTTTACTCGTTTAAGGAGACCTGCTAGGGATCAGGTACTGTCATTCGAGCAGTATAACAACACTGCAGTCACTGCTGGGACTCACCCACTGCTGTTATCAGTGTAGTTTTCAAACACTTTCAAGAATCTAGACAAGCACTTTGGAAATTGGTTAACATTGAGCTGTGCTTAGCTGCAGTTGCACTGCTTTAGACATCCAAACAAGCCACATTCTTGGCTGATTAATATTCTTGCACTAGCAATGTTTTGAACAAAGTAGATGCTGAGATGTTTATTAGTGTAAGAGCCGGTGAACTATATATGCAGGTGTTTCAGTGGACATTCAGTTTTATTGTTTTGTTTTTCAGCTAATCTGCTATAGAGAGCTTCTGCTAATACAGCTGTGTCGGTATGGTTACACAGGTAGACTTTTCTGTGGAGGTGCAGTGTATTTCGGGAAAAGAAGCTTTTCTGATGACAGGAAAGTATAGATTGATGATAAACATAATTAACTTAGCTGACAACAGCATTCCCCTGCTAACTTAGGTACACTCACACCAGGAGGATTTGCTGATAAAGTTGTGCAAGCTAGGGAGTGTGCTTTTTCATGCTTATCCTCACATTGCTTTGTCAGCAACATGCTGTAATGTAGATGCAGCTGTGAGTTGTATTTTAAACTTACTTCTTCTACAAGCTTACAAGACTACATTTTGCTGTATGTATATTTTTGTTTGCTTTAATTAATACAGAAAAAAACCCCAAAACTGAATTCATATGAGCCACTACACGATGAAGTATTAGTTTTTGCACGTTTTTACCGCTTAAGCAAACTGGTGTAAGTTCTTCTGAATGTAATACTCAGGGGTTTTTATGGTGGCTGATCACTGTTTGGTCCTTCCTACTGAGCTATTATATCCATCGACTTTACTGTAAATACAATGGAAGAAGCAGTTCTTTAAAATAAAATTGGGCAAAGGCAGTGAAGTTGCCAAGCAAGTTAACCCAAAGCAAGCATTCCACACAAAAAGGATAGTAGAAGCAGAGATAGCCACTTATACACTAGGAAAGACAACAGGCCTGGAGGGTACAGTACTTGGTGTCAAACAGATGTAAGGCAAGGTAAGATAAATTAGATAAGTAGTCATGTAGTATTATGGAAGAAAGAATAAAGGGATGTTAAAGAATAGAGATAGCCAACAGCTAGATTGAAAGAGGTTAGATATGGCCAGCAAATCACATAGTCTCGACAGCTCTTCCAGTGCAGTGCAATTTTTCTCCAGAAAATTGGAGAGGAAAAAAGGAGGAAGGAATCAAAATGAGAGAGTAATGACCAGGAGGAGTAGTCATTGCAGACAGGCAGTCACCATAGCATTTTGTAGCTTTTTCTCTGTAAGTGGCCTTCCCTATTGCACATGTTTGAAAATATGAGCAGACTTGCCAAAATAGACTTACTCTGGTGGTGCACATGTATGGAATTGTGCACACTTGCACTCTGTATTCAGTAACAGTGAAAGAATACTGTGAAACAGGAGAGAGCATAAATATGTGCTGTCTCTGGGTAAGTATCTGTTTCTTTTTTCTGCTTCTGGAAGACTGATTGATGTGGGTAGTTTTCAAAGGCTGTCATTCACTAAAATATTAGTAATTGTCCTCATATTTACATTCCATGTGGGTTTAGGTGAAGGGTTTTAGTTTTATTTCTGTCTGTCACAGCATCAACTGATAATCCGACATTGTTGGGCATAGTCTGGAACAGCACTCTGTGTCCAAGGAGTACTTGCTTACCAGCAATCTGATGGATGAAACTGCTCGTTCCCCAAGTCTGATGCAATATGCAGTTAAGACTTAAATGACTCAGAGGAGGAAAGATGCTTTTAAGTGGAAGTCTTGGGTAGGAGACAGGAAAGTTGGCAAA